CCAAAAACAAATAAACAAGTAAAGAAACACAAATATGAAAGTCATTTTATTTGATAAGTGATAGAGTACAAGAGCCCTGATGTACAAGTTTACATCCCTATCTAAAGCAACTATCTTAGAGTAGTAAGTCTGCATTATAGTAAAAATATGACTTGGTTCTTCTAAGGTTATATTGGTGTTAGCTAGTTGGGCTTCTGAGTCCTCCACCTCTTGGTTGACAGTCTTCACCTCCTCAATCTTTTTGTATAGTTTGTTGGAGAGGGTCATCTGCTTAGCCTTCAAAGCAAACATTTGTTCCTCCAGCTTTTGGATCTCTGAGGCTACCATCATAATCCAGTCCTCCATAGCTGAACCTTCCTCCACTAGCTGCTGCAGCGTAGTAGAGGTCCGAGTGTGCTTCTCTTTGTAGCACCTTACCTTGTTGGCTTGCCTCTCAGCCCGAATGTGTTGTTCCCTCAAAGCCTTCAAGTTCTTAAAGAATGAGAGGAATGACTCATACTGCACCTTGGTCATCAATTATGATTGATACAACTCATTGAAGCTTTCTTAGCTTCTTGAAGGGTCTTGAGACTAAATGAGGAAGTAAAGTCCTTCTGCATTCATTCCTTGAAAATCATACACTGCTATTTAAGATGTTGAGGCTTAAAGTGGCACTTGAGGGATCTCAGCTTAGTCTTAATTTGCAGGAACTCTCTTACTAGTTCAGGTAAGGAAGCTATGGCTGGAAAAGAAGCCAAGGGAGGAAGAAGCACACAAGCACCCTTATAAGCAGTAGCAGTAGTGGCAGCCCCAACAGAGATTGAGGGACCAGCAACAGCAGCAACTTTCTGAGGCTGAGGGATTGGAATCCCTGAAGCTCCAGTAGCCCGAGAAGGTTGAGGAAGGACCACCCTACTCACAGCGGGCTGGGAAGATTGGCCCGAGCCCTCACCAGAAGCCTATTAAAACATAAAGAAGATGGGTTAATGAAGCAATCTTAACCTAAGTTAAGAAATGACAAAATTGATAAGACATTTATACCTTAGAAGTACTTTGTGCTCACGATGAGGTTGGTTGCTGCAGTTGCTTTGGAGGAAGCTGGCTAGCCTGCTGGAGTTAAAGCTTGGAAAGCCTTGGGTATAGTCACATCTGAGACAACATGTATCTCAGTAATTATAGGCTCCCCAAATGCTGGCTCTGGAAGGGTGGTAACCTCTAGCAAAGGAAAAGGCTGGCAAAAGGCAAAAAGAAAAACATAAGTTTAAAAATAAAAGATATTAATAAAGCTTAAAATTGCTCAAGGAAGAAAACTTACACGAAATGGACCATTTCCCCAGTTGTGGGATCAAATTAGGAAGTGAGGGTCACCACTATTACTGGAGAAATGGGAAGAGAAAAATGAGTTGGTGTTCGCCCGACTGAGGGCTTAGCCCGAGAAGAAGGAATGCGTACAGGTCAGGCTGGAGATGAAGAAGGTTTGGCCTATGAAGCCCCTTATGCTTTGGAAGCCTACAATGAAGAACAATATAACTAATTTAGTATAAGAAGTTAACTTCAGAAATAATAATTAAGTATTAATAGTTTGAGAGAATTACCTTCAACTTCTCCAAGGTACTTGGAGATGACCTTTATATCACTTTGGTCCTCCTCCTCACTTGCTTTCATATCTTTAGTAAGAGAATTAGGCTTCTGCTGACAACAAGTCCTAATTACAAGAAAGAACATGTTTAGCTCAAAATTTAAGAGAAAAAGACTAGATAAAGAAAAATCAAGTTTGAATCACTTACTGGCAGGCTTCTGTTTTTTCCTACCCGCTTCAGCTGGAAGGGCATAAAGAGCCTGAGAGACTTAGGAAGTCTAAGACCTGGTTATCTTCTTGGTAGGAGTGGCTTTGGGAGCAGAGAAGTCATGCTTGGCCTTGGACCCCTTCTGGAGCTCAGAATCAGAAGACTCCACATTGTTAGGTCTTGCCTGAGAATAAGCCCTAGTTTTAGCTTCAAGCCCAGCCTCTGTCTCTGAGTCATTTAACATTGCATAAATATTTTCAGTATCCTCAGGCGTATGGTTGGAGCTTGCTTCTTGCCTAGCCACCTCTGCAGCAGCTTCTTGAATGACCAAGGCATTAGCAGCCTCTTTTTCTTGCCCAACCTTTGCTTCACCAAAAGTGCCTTAGGCTGCAAGATTAAAGAAAGAGTTAGCAATCACGACTATGGGATAATAAATTAGAGAAAGAGACAACAATGCAGGATACCTATCAGCAGAAGTTGGTTTTTGTCGTTGATGGCCTCTTCAAGCTATCAAACTCTTTTTTCTTGGGCAAGGATTTGAAAAACACTTGCCCGAAGAACCTATCATGGGCTTCTCTAATGTCTCCATTATACTTTTTGCACCACTTGGCTTCCTACCAAGTAGTGAACAAAGTAGTGCACTCAAAGTGGAGAGCTTACATGTTTGTGGGCTATCTTTGTCATCACCTCCAGGCTGTGCCTGCTCGCCTGAAATATAGTCCTCTAGAGGAAAATGGAGGTGATAGGAAGTCCCACATTGGACTAAATCAAAAAAGGGAACTGGGATTACTTGTTTAAACCCCAATTGTCTACCACAGAAGTTGGGGTGGTAGACTTCTAACCGACGCTCGTAGCCCACTCGGTCACTTATGACTCCCCAAGCTAGGTCCCTTTGTTGGATGCAGCTAATGAATTTCTCCTTGTAAAAGTTGTTGGCATCCTCATCAAAGAACTCTTGGAAGAGGTGATCTGAGAACCTAATGGTACCTTCTAAGCATAGAGGCACCCCACTCAAGATTAGCTCGAGTCTTGCAAACTCTGAAGAAGTAGAGACATGCCAAAGTTGAGTGGTTGGTGAGAGGAGCGGTTGCCAAAATTTGGGTTAGAGCCACTTCTTCTAGAAACTCCAAGTTTAGAGCTCGAAACTTTGGGAAGTACCATTAGAGCCAGAGATGCACCATCCAGGTAGCTCCATTGATATTGGTCTCAAAAGGCTGGCCCTTGGTTATCTCATAGAGGATATGGTAGAGATGTGCTAGAATGAAGGGGCTAGTGACAATGTCATCAAAGAAGTGTAGAGCCTCCACCAGAGGGATCCACTCCAACTTCACTATTTTGGATTTGTTGGGAAACACATGCTTGTTCAACAAGTAGAAGAGGAAGTAAATGTGCTCCTGAGCTGGGTTAGTAGTGGGGGAACTCAGGTTGAACATCTTATGGGTTAGTAGAGACTTTCCAATCTGTCACCAATTTGGAGTACAACCTTACTACCCTCAAGGCTTATAGGACCTTGAGGGTAGTAAGGTTGTACTCCAAATTGGTGACAGACTGGGAAATCTCTAAGCCTTCAGTGGCAAAACATGAGGGCGTTAACCAGTCATGTATGATGTCCGCATACCTGCCCGATGGCCTTAAACCGAAGACCTAAGCCGTATCCAGAATGGTGGGAGACATATGACCCATTCTGAAGTCAAAGGTATTGGTCATGGTGTTCCAAAAGAAAAGAGCTATTGACATGAGCTCATGTTTAATGGAGACAGTAACCTTGGACATCATAATTAGCTCGTAGATATCATTTGCCATCCACTTCTTCTTCCAGATGGGCTCCATTTCGCCCACCCACTTCGATCAAGCTATGTCAATCATGGAAGGAAAGCCCCTCTTAAAGCTTAACCACTTTGCAGCATAAATACCCTACTCAGCTTCATAGGGGTTAGGAGTAAGCCACTCATTAGCAGACATGTTGTTTTCCACAACAATTGGAACCCTGAAGGTCTAGGCAGGTCCTAGTAAGTGTACTCCACTTCTTCGAAGAAGATAGAGAGTTAAATGTCGTTTAGACGGCGGCGAGATTGACGATGCCCTCTCCAAACTCGTAGGCAAAATGAGATTTGGGAGCCATTGTTGAAATTGGAGAATGGAGAAGGTAACTGGAGCTAAGTTGAAAAGCAGTTGAGAATTTAGGAAAGTTTGTTTGCACTAGAAATCAAGATTATGGAAAATGTTGCCCCCAAAATAGTAAAGTGGGTGTTATGTAACGAGCAGTTAGTTAACCTTTAAAAGTTGTGGGTTAATGCAAGGTTTATTAAAAAATGGCTAAGGTAATTGGCGTTGATACCCAGTTATGGAAAACATTCAATTCTAATCATTATCAATATCTTGATTAGCAGACTTAATAATGATTAAAGGGGGCACTGTTTGGGCTGAAATAATTAATAATGGGCTTAACGTATGGAAGGCCCAAGCTTGCAAAAGCCTCTTGACTCTAGGTTGATTAAAGCACAGGCCTAAGACGGATTTAAAAACCATTTCTAGGCGATTAATAAGCAGCAACCTTATAATGGAAGTGACAAGTGACAGGGGGCAGCTTACCTCCAGCAAAAGGTGTTTTTCCGTGACATGGGTGGGTAAATAACAAAAGAAAATGATGACTCGCCTTACTCCAAAAGCTCTATCTGGAGGGGAAAACTTGGCATTTGGTCTAAGAAGTCTATAAAAGTAGTAAACAAAGCAAGCATAACTCTCTCTCAACCAATTAAACAACTACACTCAACTCTGCATTCCAACAACTCTATATCATAAAGCTTTAGTTTGTTCAGCATTCACCTTTGTAGGACCACCATATAAAGTTATCTTTTGTCAGTTTTAGAAGCTCTATAATCTTCCTTTGTGTTGTAGTATTGAATCCCATTAGTAAGCCTAGCTTATATTTCATTTTCCAAGTCTTCAACCTCTATAAAATACAAGGAGAAGTGGTTGCAAAAGGTTGTAAAACACAAGGTTGTAATCTTGCCCGAATCTCCTTTATTTGCACTTAAATAAAGTAGATCTGTTATTTATGCATTTTTCATTAGATCCTATGCTATTTTCAAGCACTTTTGTTCAAGTCTCATCTTTGGTTAATCTTGTCTAAGTTCATTAATCTGGCTTCTTTGTTGAAGGGCCTTGAACTCCCCTTACTTGGACATACACATTTATAAGATAAAAGTCCTTGTTTACAAGGCAAGAAGGACATCTGTGAACAATTCGATCAAACTAAGAAGTCGAAATAACTTGTGGCGCAAGTAATTGACCTATTTACATAACTAACAAGACAATCTGTTATACAAAGATAACAATAGCACGCTCAGACTCGTATTAGCTTTGATTGTGAGCCCAAGGCCTAACAAAGGCCCTACAAAGGCACTACTCAAACTAATAACAAACTTCTATTATAGTACACCAAGCTACAAACCTTGCCTGACATGCAAGACCCAGGGGATTTGTGCAAGGGACGGATCTAGCCCGAACGCAAGGGTTACGGACCGACCTACAAAACTAGTTTCATAAGCCTTCATAGGACACAAAACTAGTTTCATAAGCCCCTCATAGGACACAAAACTACCATCATGGATAAGATTAGAGTCTTGTACAACTTTAGTTCATACAACCTCGACAAAACACGATTGCTAGAAACTAACCGACACCAGTGACAAAATGGACCTTGACAAAACACGACTACTAGAAACTAAACACCACCAGTGACAAAACGGACCTTAAGCCTGATTCAGCAGTAGAACATGACTTCCTTCACATTTTCCTTGATCTCTGAAAGGGCACAGAACCTCACACCATCAGCACCCCCGACACCCCCAGCCGTAGATCCGGTATTAGAATCTCCATCAGAATACTCACCCTTAATGTAGTATTGTCCACGGCAGGCAGCCAAATGAGCATAGTATGTAGGAGGAACTGCATGAAAAAACAGAAACATTAGTGGTGCAACCAGGAAAAAGCATAATTTCCGAAAACATATATACAAATCCAATTCAATTACATACCAATGGAAACTGAGCGAGTGCACCTTGCATATCTGAAAATTCACATGCCAAACAATTAGAAAGTTAGCAAACAAAATGTTATCTTCGAATTGGCATCGTACAAATGTAAAAGCCAGAGAAAGAACTGAAATTATTGCCTGCTTACGTATAGCATAGGTTGTTCGTTAGCATTTGCAAGGCATCAGGGGAGAATTTGTTCTCATCAAATAAGACATGGTAATGTGCAGGCCTGCTAGTTCCCTATGCGAACAGAAGATAACAATCCAAACTTTAGCACAACAGAAAATGGCATCATATTTAGCAGTGAATATAACATATACATCCTCAGAAGAGGACACTGAAACTACCGCAAAAAAGGGAATTGGCACATATAAATCCACAACACAAATAGTACCTGAATGCCAGCATGACTGTTGAGATAGAAGTCAAACTCCGTCGAATGACAAATCTGGGTGTCAATGACAGTGCCTAGACAACATAAAGAGAGAGTTTAATGCGCAAAACGGAAAAGAATCAAATTAATATACCTTAATGCATCTAAATTTGTAACCTGGTTGAATATTGCCACTCTGATTAGTCTTCCGATGATCAGTAGGGAACAGGCGAGTATGATGACTTTTCTGCACCACAACAAAAGTAACCGGTGGTAGATATCCCTCCTGAAGCGATTGACAAGCCTGAAAATATAGTAACACACATTAGCTAAAGTCGCTTGTCTTATAAAATAATTCTAGAATTCAAGTAGTCAGCATACCTTTCTTATAGAATCCATTTCATACAGCAGAACTTGACTAAATTGCCCTTCACAAACTCCATCTCTTTCAAACAAACATCAAAGCAAATATTAGCGGAGTGTTGTGTAATTTTCATTTACCACATAACAAACAATAATTACCTGAAGTAGAGAATTCTCTCTGGTTTTAGGCCAGTTGCTTGTCGAAATGCTATTAAATGCTCCCTAGCATAATGAAAATAATCATGTTAAGAAAATACACTCACTACTATTATTTATAAAAAAAAATAGAAACAATAACAAAAGAAGGTGCATGTTGACCCAATTACCTGATCATTCCTCCAACAACCAGACCTCTGCTAGGGTCCTGTTTAATACTATAAAGATCTTGGATTATTTCTTCACGGTGAGCCTGTGCAGAAACAATTCCTCGGTACATAGTGACCTCTGGCCAATCCATGGACGCCACCACCTGAAAGTATAAATTAACAGGTTAGCACATTATGCATTTTTAATTAAAATGAAATCAAAATAGAAGGCAGAAACTTACAGCTGCAACTGACGGACTGCTGTCCACCCCAGGTGGCGGATGGGTAACATCCGCACCAAAGATGATTGTGGGAATGTCACTAACCAGAGGAATCCTTCTTTGAATGGCGTCTGTTAGAACAGTGTTCCTTCCACCAACCTACAAAAGTTTTAAATGTTGTATCAATATTTCAATGCTAATAGAAGACAGTAAGTAATGTGAGAGGCAATACATAAAGAACAAACGCAACAAGTAATGCGACGGACAATACAAAAAAAACGAACCTTCACATTTATCTTGAGTGACAAATTTTCTAGGTATTGTTTGCTGAGCTTTGATGCTGTCCTAGGCCGACAGCACTGAGATACAATTCCTAACTCAGTTTCACAGATTCGTTTTATCATACCTGAAAGCATTTAATATGTCAGATTTTAAACATGATTTTCTTGAAATAAAATGTTCTTAGATTGCTACTCACCATATGATGGAGTGACATCAGGCAAAATGATAATTAACAACTGAAGAGGCTTTCCCTTATGTCCACTTTCTTCAAGTTTCTTCCTAGACATCTTATGGATATCTCTGAGCACCCTCTCTATTTGCCCAGGATGAGCTGATTGATGAGGAATTAAAGGTTGCGGATGGAAATGCTAGGAAGATAAACAATTTGGTTAGGAAAAGAACAAAAACAATTCAATGAACAAAGAGGAGAAAGTTAAGAAAGGGAGTCGTACCACTCCCCTGCTGTTGCACATATTGACCAAATCATCACAAAATCGGAAGTTAAAACTTGGGTCCAATCGGGAGAAATTGACACATGCCCAGAAATCTACTCGACCACCGTTAACCATTTTCTACAGAACCAGAATAAATTAAAAATAAGTCAGAAATCAAATTTCTAACAAGAACAATGTTTAAATTTTGGTGCTGCATCACATATCACAAAAGCAGTAAAAGAAAGTATTTTAAAATGTTTACAAATCCATAATAAATATGAACACGTGAAGTTGCTGGCCGCAAAGACTCTTACATTGCAAAAATCTTGTGTAACTACCCTCAAAACAAATCAAAGATTTCAAATTTATGCAATGGAATTCAACATACACACACATCCATCTAAGCAAATGAAAAACCAATACCATACCTTGTTGATCATATTCCAATGTCCCGTTCGTGGATTTTCGGACTTCTCACGGCCAGTGTCATGGTATTTCAGCTGTTGTCATCAATTCAAACACCAGCAAAGAAAACAAGATGAATAAAAAAACACTTGCACTATTCAAACGTGTTTGGAAATAAATAATTACCGAAGGCGGCGGCAGAACACGAGCATTAACTAAAGCCATATCTTCTTTTATTTTCATTCCAAATTCCCGCTGGATAAGCTCATCCTTATTGTAACCATTGTATTTAACCATCTGCAAGCGGAAACAAGATGAAAGCCATCTGGATTAGAAAAGGAGTTCCATTGATTGAAAGATGAAATCACATCCAGACCTGGCATATACTTAGCTCCCTGTCTCCAGGGCGTTGACAAGTTAATCTCAGAAGAGCTGTTACTTGTCTCTCATTCAGCTTTTTAGTGTACCTCTGCCCAGCAACAATGGAACAAAGCTGCCAAAAAGGTAAATAAGTAAATTATCTCCTCAAGCTACTACCGTACATAAAACAGAAACATGCTAGGAAATAAAATGGTTAAGAAGTCAAGAAAGGAACCTCCATAGGCAAATAAACAGGTTTTGAATCACTCCCAGATTGAAGCGCAGGCATTGCCACATCCCATAGCACAATATTGTACCTCTCGCGATAATACTGTACTACTGAAGTTCTAGTTTTATCGTCTAGAGTGAACCTAAAACGCAAGGATGGATAATAAGTTATGAATGTTCTATTACCATTTATCACCGTCGTAACTCAATTTGATTTTCTTTCCATATTTACCCATTATGATTTATGATATTGCAAATTCAATCAAAATAGTTCAATCGAAAATAAGATAATGAGCATGAAATTCCAGTTCTGCATTTCAAGCGAATCAAGTACCACAACAATCTATATACATATAAACAAGACATAAGCGTAAATGTAAAGATTACAAGACTCACATTAATTTGCTCAGCGGTTCCACTGAGACCCCAGTGATTCTATAAGATATATTCTCACGATAAGAAAGTGCTACACGGACCCCCTTTAAGGCCTTTTTCACCTATAAGTAACAGAATGCCAATCAGTTTTGTTCAAGACAAATATTTTTAAGTAACCATTTGTGGACAAACATAAGTAAATGCATAGAACTCTGAATAATTTAGTCTGTGTGGACATCTACACCCGATCCAAAGGAAGTGAATCCAAAAGGAACAAGTCAATTCAAAATAAAAGCAAATGATTACATGCTACGCAGCTTCAAAATCGAATGAGTAAAAATACTAGCAAATCTACATAAATATAACCTATAACTAGTATATATAACTCGTACTTTCGATGTATTTTATTCATATAGCTTTACTTTTAGATGAGTAGCCTAACAAAACTGCATGAAACAAATCGAAATATAAATGGAGAATACCTTAAAACGATCACAATCAGGCAAAGGCCTTGACAGTTCTCTGTAGTTCAAAAGTTTTTTCACAAACTCAGTTACAAGAATAGGTTCATAAAATGCTTTGGCAGTGACATCTGCAAATATATGAATAAAAAAAAAGTTAGTCACAACCATAGTTGCCAGATACAGAGAACAGTTTGAGTTTGCAGTTCGGTTCAGGTATGGAATTTGCTAGTAACCTATAATACTCTTCGCCAGAGATAGACATAGGCATTACGATATTTAATTTGGTTTGTTCTACATTCGTTAAACAATGAAAATTGGTTTGATTGTAAAAATATTTATAACTATACATTTTACAATTATATGTTATAGTTATTATTTATTATTTATTGTAAGCAATCATAGTGAGTGGGTCACATGGAAGGCAGCCGAGCGCCACACCAACAAGAAAATTTTCAGGGTTCTGGGTACAGATGACAGTTGGTGTTCCAATGAATGAAAAACAAACACGCAGCTTTTCCTGTTTTAATTAAATTACAGTCTTAAAAATCTATAACAGTGGGCTCCAAAACCTAGAAAAGATAAACTCCGTCAAACTCTTCAACTTTGTAGTCTAAAAGAGGAGAAAAGGCATCCAAAAAATTGCTCTTATCTAGTTTTGAAATCACTGTTATAAAAAACCCCTACTAGTGCCGCCATCCCTAATTAATCCCTTTGCGTTTGAAAATTAAGAAAAGGTGTCTAGACTTGCTTAAGTGTCCGCCTAAATCCGCCTACACACCCACTTAGAGCAATTCCACTAGGAGGTGGTTAGGCCGGCACTCAGCCAAAAAACAAGGTTGGCACTCAACCAATCCACTCCAGCCCGTTCCATTGCCTGGCACCCAGTCCAAGCTAGTCTCCAGGCTAGCCCAAAATTGATAGACCTTGGGACCGGTCCATCTGACATCAGCGTGTTGTAGGAGGGCATATGATGTCAACCTTCTTATTTTTGTTGCACCAGAGAGGGCGTTGTTGTGGAGGTGAGGAGCAGAGCTGGTCGAGGCGGGAGAGGGTGTCGGGAGGGAAGGAGCCACGGAGGGAGAAGGATAGGAGGACCAAGCGACAGCATCGGAGGTGTAGAGGAGCTTGTTGTTCAGGTCGGCTTGGGATTTGAAGGACAGCAGGGCAATGGCGTCAGAGGAGGTTTGGAGCCAGCGGTGGGAATGGATTATCTGTGCTGGGTGGATGGCGTGCAAGAATGGAAGGGAAGAGAAGTGTGGAAGATGGGAAAATAAAAATATTTTAATAATATTATTATTATTTTATTTTTTTATAAAGTCAGAAATTAAAAATAAAATTATTATTTTTTATTATTTTATAATAAAAAATAAAAATATTTTAATAAATTGACTGGGCTATTTTTTTAGGGGTGGAGATGCTTTGACCTATTACTGCTCACTGGAGTATATTACTGTTCACTTGAGTGGATAAATGCGCTGGGTGCTGGCGCAAAGTCTTTAGAGGTGGAATTGCTCTTAGGTCGCAACTCTCAATTATACATAAGATAAATAACTTTCATTTTGCCTTTTTTTAAATAAATTGTAAGAGACTTGTTGAATACTTGGATGAATACTCATTATATTTTGATTCCCCATGTTTATAATATGTTCTAATACTTTTTAATCTATATGTCATTCTATTTTTCAATTTTTTTTATCCCGATGCAATTATATATTTTTTTAAGTATAAATAAGTACTTATTTATACAATATATAATAAGTTTACTTAAATCCGAATAGTCCTCCTAGGCCCCAAGTTGCCACCTAACTAGCGCCTAGTGTCTTTTAGAGCTTTGTTTGGAATAAAGTCATCCAGATTGCTTGCCATGCGCAATGGCCTACTCCTCCATCGTTAATTTCTCAGTTGACAATAGGTTCTTTGTGATTTGTTATTCTTTTATGTCTATTTCTGGGGTTTTAATTTTTTTTCTTCTGGACTTTTATAAGGAGTATTGAATGATTTATGCTTGAGAAGAAATGCATCGCAGTGGATTGGCACTGATTTCATCAAATTTCTCAACGGAGTTAAACAATTTTCAATTCTCATTGAAATCCGGTAGAAACCTTCTCTAATTTCTTTACTTTGGATTAAATATATTTCTTTGAAAACCAAATGGCCCAAAGAACACAGCCAAAACAACTGTACAACACAAAGAAACTAAAACTTGGAGTAATTGTTCATAAAATGCAGTACTAGATTGGTTTCTCCAAAGGAGGGCAAGGAAGGTCATCGGAACGAAGGACGAGGACCAAAGATAATTACGTTGAAATGTTATTGACGGCGACAGAAACTTGACGGAGTTTCTTTTCTCTTTGGTTTTGGGGACACTGTTTAATAATTTAAGAATGTAATTTAATTGAAAAATGCAAGCATCACATGTATGTTTTTCATTCGTTTAAGGTCTGGTTTGGTACTGAGATGATTTTGAAAAAAAGCTAGAAGCTTTTTTGTGTTTGGTAAACATTCAGTTTCAGTTTTTTTCCACAATTTTGGGTGAAAAAAAACCAAAAAGCAAGAAGCTGCAAAACCCAGCTTTGAAAAACCAATTTTTTTTTTACATCTGTTTTACATAAAAGTTTACCAAACACTATAATATTGTTTTTTTTTTTTTTCAAAAGCACTTTTACGAAAAAACTTACCAAACACTCTGCTACTTTATTTCACAGCTACTTATTCTCACAGTACAACAGAAGCAACTTTTTTTCAAAGCACAGTAATACCAAACCAGCCTTAAACACTAGATGTCATGTATACATGCCACCCTAAAAATTTTCTCCACATGAGCTCCTAATATATCATTCATTCGTTAATCAAAATGCTAGGTGGTGCAACTTGAATGAACAACCATTAAAAAAAAAAAAAATAGAAAAGAGTTAGAGTTGGTTTGACTTTGTCATGTGGAAATAGACATGGCAATTTCATTCATGACCCATTAACTCGACATAAAACGACACGAAAATAACAGGTTTTGGGTCAACACGTTAACTAATCAGGTCATTATCAGGCTAACCATTAAGAACCATTTAAAAATGGTCTACCTGCGGGTAACCAGTTTCAACCCGGTAAGCATAATGTTAGTTCGGTAATTTTCACCCATCAACGGTTAACGGTCATGGGTGTCAACTTTGGCTGCTCATTATGAAATTTTTAATGTAATTTGATTTTTCCCCAAAATATCAAGGCACATTAAAACATTCATAATAATTAATTTACAAGTCTGAAAAATGTGAAAAAATATGCACACTCGTGATTGCATCATCTACGCTTAGACAATGGCTACATTGCTGTTTGAATTTTTAAAACCCTCCAAACCTCGTGAACAATGTTTTTAGGGGAGTTCAAAATAAATAAAAAATTCATAATTATTTATGTACATGGTTAGATTGTCATTTGGATTTTTTAACCCTTCAAACCAATAGTGTTTTAGTTTTAGTGCAAAATTAATAAAAATTCATAATAATTAATGTGTAAGTGAAAAATGTAAAATATATATATATATATATATAGACGCAGCGCGCGTGCGCGCGCACACACACACACACACACGCACACACACAAGCGCTTGTAATGACAAGATCTACAACTTTCGTGAAGAGGCTAACTTCGAAATTCGACATCATAATCCACAAACCCTAGATTCATATTTAACTGTCGATTGTCATTTACGTTTACTCTCCATTATTCAAGATTTCATTTTTTTTTTTTTCATATTTTCTTTTTTGAAAACAAGATCTTTTAGTTGATGCAGAAAGATGAACGGTTTGGATCATTCATATCATGCTACGATATTTCCGATTAACTGATATATGAGTCGATGCTATATAGTTTCTTAACACTTCATAAACTCCGATCAATATTTTCACCAACTATAAAATTTTGAACGAGATATCAACGATCCGAACTGTTTATCTTTCTGCATGCTAAAACATCATGTTTTAAAAATAAAAATAAAAAATCTGAAAAAACGAAAATCTGATCAAAAGAACAATGAGTAAACGTAAACGATAATCAACGATAAAATACAAATTTTGTGTTTATGCATTATGGTGTCAAATTCTGAGTTGATCCTCCACAAAAGTTGTAGAGCTTGTTAGTACGAGCGTTTATATATATTATTTTTTTTTTGCATTTTCACAGTTCTACATTAATTTTGCACTCAAACAAAAAACACTATTCATGAGGTTTGAAGGGTGTTAAAAATCCAAACACTATTCATTAATTTTTACATTTTCTAATTTGCTTTGGTATGAAAAAAAAATCAAATTACATTAAAAATTCATAATAATTAGTTTACAAGTGTGAAAAATGTGAAACAATTTGCACACGCTCATGACCGCATCCTTTCCCCTTTGACGATGGTACATTGTCATTTGAATTTTTAAAACCCTCGTAAACAGTGTTTTTAGGTGGAGTTGAAAATGTGTAATAATTTATAATAATTAATTTATAAATGCGGAAAATGTGAAAATGTGAAAAAATAATTGTTAACGCTCGTGATCAAATCCTCTACACTTTTGACGATGGTTACATCGTTGTTTAGACTTTTAGGGCATGTTTGTTTGGCCTCGTTAAATTTCCCTAAACTAAACTAGATTAGATATTAGTGTTAGCATGTGTTTCTTATAGGCAGGACTAAGTTTAATAGGACAAAGGAGGACTCGCATGGACTAAGTCCTTCACTAGGAGGTCTTAGCGAAACCCCCCAAAAACAATGGGATTGCTAGTCCCCTCTCCCTTGTCTGCAAGCAACGAACCCAGTCATTCTCCTTTGTGCATGAGTAAAAGCTACAGCCCCCTTCTCCGGTGACCAAAGCAGATACAACTCTCGCCGATCTCCACCGTCCAGTAAATCTAGCGCCAATTTGGGGTCTTCCGCCATCTGGGTTGACCCGAACACGACAAAGACGGATCTTTTGCTATCTCAAACCACATGCACATCGCTCTTTCAACCTCACAAACGCCTCAATTCTCACCCTTACCAATCACCTACTTCCGCTGATTTTCCCCTACCAGTCGCGTTCCGTTACGAGAATTCAACAAATCGTGATCTGAATCTGTGCAACAGAGAAGGTGAGCAGTTAGTAGGAATTGGGAATTTTGAAAGGTGTTTGGTTGGTGAGAAAATTAATAGAAAAATCGAAAGAGAAAATGGAATGGCAATTAGTAGGAATTGGAGATTTTGAAACGTGATTATCTGCAAATAGGAATCTTTGCAAATGGGAATTCCATGAAAGCATGGTTGACGAAGGAAAAACAATTTGTGTGTCTGAATTGGAGAGCTTTGTAAAGCATGGTTGATGTAGGCAAAGAGGATCGAGAATTTGAGAGAGATATAGGAAGTTCTAAAAAGTCAGAAACAAAGGTAATAAAAATAGAATTAATAATAAAATATTAATAGATATCAATTAAATAATATAATTTGAGAGTTTGTTAATAACCCTGCTTCTTAGTCCGATAGTGCACCAAACGCTGCACTAAGTCAGTCCAGTTTAGTCTAGTCTAAGCCAGTCCAACTTAGTCCCTGAAGCTAGTTCAGTCCGAGATAGTCCGGTGTAACAAACGCACCCTTAGGGTTTAGGGTTTGAGGTTTTAAGGGGCGTTTGTTTGCCCTCACTAAAGTTCATTAGACTGGAGAACACTAGTCCAGTCCCATGTTTGTTCCCCGCATGGACTAGATTGTCAAGTCCCGTGTTTGTTCTCCACAGGGACTAGATTTAATGAGACTAACTCACTCTCGCCTCAACTAAAGCGGGGGCTAGCCAGTCTTAGCGAGACCTTCGAAAACCATGAGTGTGACATCCCACATCGCCCAGGGGAGTGATCCTTATATGTATATTCCCATCCCTACCTAGCACGAGGCCTTTTGGGAGCTCACTGGCTTCGAGTTCCGTAGGAACTCCGAAGTTAAGCGAGAAGGGGGCTAGAGCAATCCCATGATGAGTGATCCACTGGGAAGTTGCTCGTGAGTTCCCAAAAAACAAAACCGTGAGGGAATGGTAAGCCCAAAGCGGACAATATCGTGCTACAGTGGTGGAGCGGGCCCGGGAAGTGATCCGCCCCTAGTCGGGATATGACACTTTGGTATCAGCTCCTAACCTTGGTCGTGGTGTGCCAACGAGGACGTCGGTCCTCTAAGGGGGGTGGATTGTGACATCCCACATCGCCTAGGGGAGTGATCCTTATATGCATATTCCCATCCCTACCTAGCACGAGGCCTTTTGGGAGCTCACTGGCTTCGGGTTCCGTAGGAACTTCGAAGTTAAGCGAGAAGGGGGCTAGAGCAATCCCATGATCGGTGACCCACTGGGAAGTTGCTCGTGAGTTCCCAAAAACAAAACCGTGAAGGATTGGTAAGCCCAAAGCGGACAATATCGTGCTACGGTGGTGGAGCGGGCCCAGGAAGTGATTCATCCCCGGCCGGGATGTGACAATGGGACTAGCTAAGACCGTCTTCTCTCTCATCCTTGTTCTGTTTGACAACCACTCAGTACGACTCCTCGTCATCTCTGACCACTCATTCTACTAGATCGATTGTTAACTTTCTGATTCGACTCTCTCTTTCAGATCCGCTTCACAACCAATTTTCACATAAAATATACCAAATTGATGCTGGGAGTGAGGGAATTACAATTCTACCTAAATTAAGGCCAAAAGGTGGTCGAAGGTAGCCGAAAAATAGCCTAGAAGTCTCAGCCTATTTGGGTTTCTTTAAATCCATGACAGATTCAAGCATGCAAAGGTCGAATCTAGGTCTAGGAATGGTGAAGAGTTTGTTGGTGGTGCTAACCTCATCCAATTCGACGAGGTTTGGCCAAAAAACTCAACGTAAAACCTACAACTCATCAAGAAAAATAGAGCCATGAGGTTCCGTTCGAATAGTGCAGAGCTAGAGAGAGACAGAAACTGGAATCGAGAAGGAGTTGGATGGAAAAAAAAAGATAGAAGAATGGAATTGAGAGGTCCAACCTGAGGAGGAAGAGAGTGGGACGGAGAACAGAGACAAAGATGGAAAGAATATTAATAATTATGAATTAAATGATACAATGTAAAGTTTGTTAATTATCCTGCTCTTAGTCTGACACTGCACCAGACGCTTTACTTAGTTGGTCTAGCATAGTCAATTCTATGTCAATCCAGCTTTGTCCCTAAAGTTAGTCTAGTCTGAAATAGTCTTGTGCAACAAACGTACCTTAGGGTTTAGAGTGTGTAGAAACTAATTTAGTGACAAAGCGGTATGTTGATGCTAACTTAGTATGATGTTTTTCATTTGATTATTTATTGAAGCAAAATATACTTTATTTATCTATTAAAAGGTCAAGTCATATTACCTATTAATTTTAACGGGTCGAGTTCAGGTTAGGTCTTATTACTCGTATATTTGACTAATTTGACACAACACGATCTATTAAAATATCGGGTCTGTCACGAACACGGCAAACAAGACATGATCACCAGGTATACGTGGGAGTTGGAGAGAGAAACCTAGTTTCTCTCTTCTTCGCTGGAACTAAGAACAGCAGAGAGCAGCTCTGCGTTCTCCTCCCAAGTTCAAAACAAAAGTTTCAAAAGTATGATCTTAATCCTCTGATTTTGCCGAGTTTTGAAAAGTACAATCTTAAACCACCAAAATTACCACCGAATCGATTCGTCCGTATCAATTCAGAATTCGAATGCTCTTTCACTGTATTCAGCAACTATGGAAACAAAACTCTTGTTACTTAACTTCATATGATTATTAGAACGTGGAAATTTTGGTTAATGCATTACCTATATTGAGTGAAAGCCCAAACTGAGTCAGCCTTACACTCTGGTAAAAGCCTCTCCAGTATTCCAGACCCTCAACAAAATCACCTTTCTGCCCAAGCTCAACGCCAAAAAATGACCTCCCAACAACAGTGTACCTATGATACAAATTACAACAGGCAAAACAGTTATTACTGAGGAAACAACACATACAAGGAGAAAATAAATCTTATGCCCTTCTACCAAATAGACTTTTACTTTTCAGAAGTTGTGGCCCTAAGAACAACATCCAGAACTTGAAGTACGTCTCGAGGCGACTCATGTTGTTGCAGCTGATGCAGGTCGGCTTTGCTAGCCAACTTGAGAGTGACCTTGAACTCTTGGTCCCTCCTGTAGCCAGTCAAATACAAAGAAGAAACCGTTAAAAAACCGCAACAAACAACAATAAAGCCTTATCCCACTACATAGGAAAAATACCCCAACAAATAAAACAAAACATATTAAAATTAAAAAAAAGGACATTAAACAGGACAAAAACATACAAAAATGAACCAGCAGCAACAGCAGAAGCTTCTCTCTCGGCCAACTTTACCACAAACTCTTCCGAGGCAAATGGTAAGGGCCCTGCTGTATAAATACTTGTCATGCCATCATAAGCTGGGATTCTGTTGCCCAGGTGGGACTCCTTGTAAAGTTTTACGAGCTGCTTAATGACATCTTTGTTGATCTTTTTCGATGCAACTTTAGGGGTAATCGACACCTACAACAACCAAATGAAATCATAAGACACCTCACAACCACATAACCTATTGATGAACACCTTCCTAGATCAAATTTACAAAACCCTTTTTGAAAACCCTTTTTTAAGAAAAATATTTAGGTCAACTTTAAACAGAGAGAATAAATTTTACAAAAGCATATGGCTCGCTATTTACTCAGAACAATGTTTTCGGAACGCAAAATTACTTTCCATTATGTAATAGTTTCTAGGTTGTATGTAAGTAGTCCCATTCTAATATCCCTCAAATAAAGCTTATTTGATGGACATCTTGTGTTGTGATGATCATTTCATAAATTTTTTCAACGATTCGAATCATCTATATTTTAATTCATCATTCATACATCATCTTTGCAAAAAATAAAAATAAAAAGACAAATCTAACACTATTACGAGTTCCAATCATACTAGAGTAAACAAATGAATATGATTTTTCAAATAAACACTAAATGACTATCATTTAATCCAACGGTCATATAGTTTAAGATCTGAATGATTTTTCATAAAGATATCTTTGATAGTTGGATTGTTGAAATACATTGAGAATGAGCCCTACAAGACAGATCTATTTATGATGTGTGCATGAAGAGAGATAGGTACTATTGATGAAATTAAAGCAAGACTAATGAAAGGGTGTGTCGACGAAGAAGTTTTTAGGGTTCCCCGCATAAATGCCAGCTGGTGTTCCGGACCTATGAAAATTAGACAGCTGGATCTTTATTCATTTCTTATTAAAACAAACCCTTAAAAGTTGAAACCGTCAGCCAAGTACCGATATCTTTTAACTCCGTTAAATTCGTATGTTGTCGTCAATAATCTTGGTATTCCGTCCGTCTTTGATTTTCGCAAGTCCATCGTCTGCTTTGGCGCCTGAAAAAAAAAAAAAAAAAAAAAAAAAAAAACCGAGAAAATGGAGGAAAATTGGTTTATTGGAAAAAGGGGGGAAAATTGCTCCTCCATCTTGTCCGTCCGTTCCTGACGTATTGTCGAGTACTCAAAGGAGGAAGAACATAAGAAATTAGAGTCAGATTCAGATGACATGTCATTGGAATCACAATGCTCCAGCAACCCCAGTTGCCGGTGGAACCACAATGAGATCCTAAACGACGTCTCTTGCAAAATTGACTACTCTCGACTCAGTAGAAATCATGAGCTTTTATGTAGAACAAAGTCAGTGGTTTTGTGGGTATTTTGGGCATTAACAGTATCAATGGTTATTTGTTGTTGTGTTGTTTTAGTAATTGATGTGTTTGTGAGAAATGAAATTGCTCTTAATTCTTCTCACTAATAGCTACTCTACCTTGATAAATGTGATTGATCTTGTACTTGTTGTAGTAGATTATAGGGTAAATGACAAAAAACTACCTCAACTATTGGTCTCACGACACTATCTTATCTCATCTATTAAAATTGACAATGTCGTACCTCATCTTTAGAATTTGATCCAATATTATACTTTCCGTTACTTGACCGTGAATTTTTTAGATAAATGCTGACGTGACTTGATTCGAAATCCACTTTCTATTAAAAAATTAATAAAATATCGTGGCACCTGAAACCCCATACCTAAACCCCCCGGCCAAATCCCGTCACACCCCCCAAAAATATCATCACCGCACCAACACCCCCCCCCAAGATCCCAACATCCCATCACCCGAGAAGGAAAAACAAAAACAAAAAAAAGAAGAAGAAGAAGAAGAAGGAAACCCAGTTCGTCCGTCCCCCCCCCCCCCCACCCCCCCCCCCCCCCGCGCCCCCAACCCAACCAAACCTAACCTAACCTACAAAGAAGAAGAAGAAGAAGGAAACCCAGTTCGTCCGTCCCCCCCCCTGCCCCAACCCAACCAAACCTAACCTAACCTAACCTACAGAAGAAGAAGAAGAAGAGAGAGAGAGAAAAAAAAAAGGGAAACCCAGTTCGTCCCTTCCCCTCCCCTCGAAAGCCAACCTGCAACTCAGAAAGAAGAAGAAGAAGAAGAAGGAAACCCAGTTCGTCCGTCCTCCGTCCCCCTGCCCCCCCCCTCCCCCTCCCCCCCCCCAACAAAAAAAAAAACAAAAAAAGAAAAAGGAAAACCAAGATGCGCGGAAAAAATCCCAACCGACCAACACCCCCCCCCCCCCCACACCCACACCTAAAGGAAAAAAAAAAAAAAAAAAAGAAGGAAAAGAAAGAAACCGTCCCCCCCCCCCGCGCCCCCACCCACAAGCCACCTGCAACCCAGGAAAGAAGAGAAAAAGACAAAATTAAACAAGATTGGAAACACTTGTTTTGATCGTCGAATCTATACCTTCCCTTCACGACTTCACACCCGACCGGTATGCCGAAAATTTAGGGGAAGCTTGCTGCGGTTTTAGCCCAAAGTGAGTGTGTTTTAAATGCCCCATAGCCCCATCCCATCCCCTTCCCTTTTGTTTTGGTTTTGGGTTCTTCCATTTTGTTTTGGTGTTTGGTTCTACTTGATGGGGCATATGTTGGTGGTTCAAATCTGGCAATTGTTGAATGGGCTTTGGCTATCCTCGATTTTATTGGACATGTTTGTCGTAATTGGTATTGATCCCGTTGTCTTTCAATAACATGTATGCTTTTTGACCAAAAAAACCTCAAATAATTGTTGGGTCCCAAAATGCCACGAGCGACTCAAGTTTACAACAGTAAACTTAAAAAACTAAAAGGAAAACCCAAAAGCAAATTATCGAAAGGCTAAATTTTTTTCGTGGTCTCTATGGTAATAAGATACTTTCAAATTGCCCCTCGTTTAAAACTGTTATCCATCATTCAACTGTGGTGGAGTCAAATCACTTAGTACTACAGCTTAGCAGTATTCCTCTTCACTTGTAAGTGAATAAGTCTTAGGTTCGATTTTCGCCAAAAACGAATTTGAACCACATTATTGATTGCTCATTGTGAGGCTTTCTCTCCCACCCTCTAGGTTTATATACTATCGTTTGTTTTAAAAAACTATGGTGGAGTCCATTAGCAATCTTATCCACATCAAAATTTTCCGTTAAAAAGTTATATGTGCAGGTCACATGCTATGGACAAAAGTGTCCTTTGATATTATTGACTGCCACTAACAATGACAAATTGCCACATTGTCATGTAATTGATTTTTAAAACCAAAAAAGATAAAAGGTTATTTTAGAAACAAAAGAAGTACGCAAATAACAAAATAGAAAAAGAAAATCATTAGTGCTCCCTCCACCCCCATCAATCCTCGCCGTCCCACCCTAAAATCCAAACCTGCTTCTTCCCCATCTCCTCCACCAAAATTCAAAACTTCCTTTCTCATTTCCCCCACAACAATAATCTCATTTTTCCCTACAAAATCAAATTAACAGAACAGTTTACTATTATTCAATCAATTAATCCCACGTTCTTTATACAGCCAATTCTTGATCACCTTCTCAATGGTCTGGGGAACACGTTCTTATGGCACATTGACCATTGATTCGATAGCACTGAGGTGCCAGAGGCGATGGCGGGACAAAGGGTGTCCTGCTGGTGACGGTGGAACTGAGGTCCAGGGAGAACGCGGCCAAGGAGGGAGGAAGGTGTACAATAAATTTTCTTTTCTCAGTTTTAATTACTTTAATCTTTTAAAAATCCTTTTACATTATTTTTCAGAAAAGGATCAATGGGCTAGATAAGTTGTAAAGACAATTATACCCTTGTATGTGAACAACACATGTAACTTTTTAACGGAATTTGAATGAAAATTTTGATTTGGACCAAGATTGTTAAACTACTCCACCACAGGTGTATGATTGATAACATTTTTTTCACGAAAATTACTCTCTTAGGGACCACGAACAAAATTTACATTGTTAATTCACTCCACCACAGGTGTATGATTGATTGATAACATTTTTTTCAAGAAAATTACTCTATTAGGGACCACGAAAAAAATTTAGCCCTATCAAAATAAATAAAATTATTCAAAACACAATGACAACGCTCAATAGTCCAAAGCATCTGAACAGATCAACTTAGAAATATTTTTAAAAAATGTAATAGAAATTTTTGGAGTCACATATGTTTTGAGGGCACCAAATCATTTTTGGGTCCCAACACGACATTCCGAGTCAAGTTTTCAAAAAGCAATGAAAAGGAAACTGTAAACTTAGGTCATCTTCAACCGAATGTTGGCAAGATGGCTCGTTTTAGTTCTCTGGTCCTTCAAAATATTAATATTTTAATAAACAGTACATGACCATATTTGTCTTCATCTCCAACCGAGGGCCAAAGGGCCAGATGACTCATTTTAGCCTTTTCACAAAAAACCATCTCCAACCGAGGGCCAAAAGACTATAGTATGGAATGTGAAGAATTGAAATAAAATATAGTAAGACAGTATGAAATGATGAAAAATAGGTAAGAAATGGTGTAGGAAAAATTAGAAATTAAAAATAAAAAATAAAATAAAACGTCCAAAAAATAAAATAAAATAAAAAAGTGGACTGAGACCAAAAAAGTTTCTTACCCCTAATCCTAAAGTGGCCTAAAAACCCTAAAGTAGGCTGAAAAAACAAAAAAAAAAAAACAAAGAAACTGGGCTTAGTAGGTGGAAAAGAAAAAAAAAACAAAACAAAACAAAATGGCCTAGGCAGCGGCTTGATGAAGATGGTCAGCCGATTGGTCATCTGGCCCGTTTTTGTCATGTGGGACCCACTAACTTTTCATTGGAGATGATTTTCGAGCTATTTTCAACCATTTGCTCTTCTGGATCCTTCGGTTGGAGATGATCTTACTACACTCCACATTCCTAAAATTTATTTTAAAACACACCACATCCTTTCCAATATCCTCACACCCCAGACTTTCTACATATACCCCAAGCTCTACACTTAAAATCCAAATCAAAATTTCTATGAGGTGTAAAGAGGAAGTGCTTCATCTTCAAATCAATGGTTTAGGGTTTAGGATTTATGAAGAAAAAGTTTGACCAAACTCCGTTATTATCATCTTGCGTTTTTCCTCTCATCTGGAATTGTTAGACGATATGTCAAGTTTAGGGGTTTCTCAAATGGTTTATCATCTATTAAGAAACTCGAATAAAGTACAAAACGAAAATTTTCTCATATTCTTTTTTCAATTTTTAATTATTTCATTAGTTTCTATCAATTAAGAATTTTAGGGTTTCTCTATTCAATTAACTACAAAGATTTTTGTCCATTTTGAGGGGTAGTTTTGACTCAACCTCGTGGGTTTCTATCAATTAGGGATTTTCGATTTCACACACACACACACATATATATATATATATATATATATATTCATCTTGTTTGGCAGTTGTTAGAGTTTTATCCTACAATAGATGATAGGAGTGACTTTGAGAGCTTGAAGAAAAAAATATGAAAAACAATTTAAGATGTATCAGAAAATAATTTTATTTTTTAAATTCAGATATGGTCTAAATAGTCATTTCATAATATGATATATGTCATTTAAAAATAAATTATCTGAAATGTATTCGTTGATAAAAAAAAATCCAAAAATAAACTGTAAAATGCAGAAAGAACAGATAAACACAGAAAAATGAGAACGAAAAGGAAAAACTGCAAAAAGAAAAAAGGAAGGAGGCTTACATAGTAGTGATGGAGATCACTCGCTCTAACCTCCACTAGGAAGTGGTTGGCCCTGACTCGGACCTTCTCGCCGACCTTCCCGTAGCCAGGCCTAGCCGGATGCACGACGGGCTTCGACGACGACGGTGGCGGGGCGGTCAGCATCAGTTTCTGCTCCAACTCACAGATGAGAGGGGTCTGCGCCCAGATGGAAGACGACTGAGCGGGCGCCGGTCCGCGAGAAACCGGTGTTTGAGCCAACGGTGCCGGCGAGGGAGTTTGAGCCGCAGTCGGAGCGGCGACGACTCCAGGACAGCCATGGCTAGGGCCCGATTCGGACTGAGACCACAGTGCAGCACCGGTGTTTCGTACCCGACCACGGCCTCCGTCTCCTCCATCGCAATTAGACGGCGGGGCGTCCGAGCCGTACGAGGGTTCGGAATGACGGCCTCGGCCTCGGCGGCGTCGGCGTTGAGACATCGCGTCTCTGTGCGCTCTGGATTTGAGAGAGAGAAGGTGAGGTTTTTAGAGAGTGAAAGGAGGAGTGCGCAGAGTGAGAATAGGTGGGAAAAGGGAGGAGCAATTGCTTTAGACTTGCTGATGAAGACTTCGGGGGTTGAAAGGCAAAAGGAAAAGAAAAAGGAAAGGAGCGGAAAAGGAAAAGAAAAAGAAAAAGGAAAGGGAAAAGGAAAATAGCTGGAAAGAGAGTCTGTTAATTGACTATAAAAAATTAAACATAAAAAATAAAAAATAAAAAGGAGCGGACAGAGAGCGTCTGTTAATTGACTATTTTGCCCTTCAGTGTTTTTCGTACCTGTGAAATTAGGGGAATTAATATGGGATCATGCTCGAAGGGGTGTAAAGGGAATTTGGTTTTGGGCAAAGGTTTCTTTGGGAGAAGAGACAATTGGTTTGTTACGTGTAAAGATGACAATTCAAACCATTAAACTTGATAAACAATAATAACCATTCGAATGGAACAGATTTGAAAATGAAAATTCGAGTACATTTTAGATATAAAAAAAAAATTGAAAATATTATTCTGCCACGCGATAGTTTGGCAAAAAACGCAAAACATACCATACAGTTTTAGTTTAACCTCACTACTTTGTATTTTGGTTGTCCAGACTAAAGAAGTGGAACCATAAATCATCACAGTCAGTCAAAGCATACCAAGTGAATTTTATAACTAGAATGACAAAATTGCTCCTGTTGATGGAAGAAACTCATTATTTAATCTCTATTGGGCTAAACAGACTCAATGAACCGTTGCACAAGTATTGAGACGCAATTACCTTTAAACACCCTCTCCATTTGTCCATGATGAGCACATTGAAATGCGGACCTTTTACTAGCGACCGCTGTCATGGTATTTTAGCTGTTGCCATAAATTCAATCATCAATAAAGATAAGTTCATTAACCAACTAAAATAAAAATAGAAGCAATCAAACAAGTCGCTTATGTCATTTTTAATTGAAAAGGTTTAAGGTTTAAAAGGTAAAAAATTGTATGATTCGTTTAAAAATTCATCTCCAATAGAGAGGGTTATAATTATGTAGAGTCCACCAGGCCATTATTCAGCCAAGGAAGTATCTGGCTAGCCAAATGCAGCCTCCCTTAGCCCTTTTTTTGGTCCAGGTCCTCAATTGTAATAATTGATTCAAATTCAATAGTTAGATTTGAAAACATCCGATAGTAATTTAATTAAATTAATTAATAAATTTGTAGTATAAACTTAAAAGTAATAAATTATTGAGAGAGTTATGTTTAGCATTTTCGGTTGGAGATGACATATGACTATGACCTGACACTGTTTGTTTAAAAATAATTTTTGCAGAGCTATAATTCTGGACGGGACTATGTTTAACTCTTTCGGTTGGAAATGGCTTTAAAGAGTAGGGAAAGTTACCTCCATGGGCAAATAAATAGATTTGGAAACACTTCCAGATTGAATGGCAGGCATTGCCACATTATTAGCACAATATTGTACCTTTCACGATAATATTGAACTACTGTCTTACTACTTCCGTCTTCTAAATCTTATATATAAAGCCGGCAGGCATGAATAGTGATTTTTTATGTCACAAGTTTCACCAAAAATTATTAGATAAAAATACTTGTAAAATAAATAAAAAAATTAAAAGCAGTCTAAAATAATGGAAGGGTATTTTTGTCAATTTAATAGTCTTTTTTTAATAATTAATTATTTTTGTATAGTTTTTTTTAATTAATACCTCATAATAGGTTAATAATAATGTGATCCTATCAATTGTTCGTTAAATATTATTTTCTCTATTTTTAAACACGTTCAAAACATCTTGATAGGCGTATAATGTCAGTTATAAAAAAAGGTCTTTCGGACGCGTATAATAATGTGATTAAATTAGTTGTCAAATGATTTTTTTTTTCTTTTTTTAACAAACGATATTATATAAACTAAAGTATTGAATAAAGGATCACACATATTTGCATATACAAAGAGAGAAATTTCCATTTTATGTCACCACAATCATAAATATTGACCAAATTAAAAATAAGTATCGATCGCTTGAGTTGGTTTAGCGGTTCCATGGACACTCCAGTGATTTTATAAGGCCTTTTTCACCTGTGAGTGACAAAATGTCACAAGATTTGATAACACAAAATGTTTAAGAAACTGATTGAGGACATACAGTAGTAAGCTAGATAAGAAACTGATTGACGGGTCTCTTACGTTAAAGTATTTTCACAAATTCCGTTACCAGGGTGGATTCATAGAAAGATGTGGCAGACACATCTGCAAAATTTGAATGAAGAAAAAAAAAAAAAGACAAGGCATTCTTGTTACTGAGAAAAACTTGTATGGGGCTTGGCTTGCCACTAGACTTCGTTGAATGACACTACAATCCACTTAAAACTTGTCACGTGGCAAGTCTTAAATATATTCTTTTATATTTAAAATTTTTATAATTATTTTTTTAACTAATTAATATATTATATATATTAATGTTATGTTTCCTTTTTTATTTCTTTCCTCCTATTTTTTTCCTTCCCAAACCCCCCCCACGTGGCAAGTCTCAAATATATTCTTTTATCATTCTTTTATATTTAAAATTTTTATAATTATTTTTTAACTAATTAATATATTATATATATATATATATTAATGTTATGTTTCCTTTTTTATTTCTTTCCCCTTATTTTTTTTCTTCCCAAATCCCCCCAACACTTTGTTTTGCCGTAGGTCATAGGACTCCCTCCCCTTTCTTTCTTTCCCAGTTTCATTTCTTTCTTTCTTTAAATAAAATAAAATAAAGTTATGCACCCACTCCAAGTTTATCATGGAAAGCAACCAAGTATCTGTAAGCTTCAGCGTCTGAATGCACCACCATTCCGATTTTCAGATCTTCTTCAAACTCCATTGCCTCAGCAGCAACCTATCAATTGAAAAAAAAAAAATCAAAGATTAGACTAATATATTAATTAAAGACTCATAATAAAGAAGGTAGCAAACATAGAAGATACCCTAATTCATATTATAAATATAAAAAATCCAAAAAACCTCACCCGAACCCAAAAACCCCCAATTAAAAGAAAAGAAAATAACCCTACTACATCTATATATGTGGGTTATTCATGTCACATGATCAAAGCAACTATTGTATAAAGAAAGAAAAAAAAACTTACAGATTCTTAGTTGCTTTCCATGATAAAATTGGAGTGGGTATAGAACTTTTTTTTTTTTTTTTTTTAAGAAAGAAACGAAACTGGGAAAGAAAGAAAGGGGAGAGAGTACTGAAACCTAAGATCTACGGCAAAACAAAGTTGCCCCGGAGGGGGGTGTGGGGTGGATTTGGGAAGAAAAAATATAGGGGGAAAGAAATAAAAAAGGAAACATAACATTAATATATATAATATATTAATTAGTTAAAAAAATAATTATAAAAAATTTAAATATAAAAGAATGATATTTTATATAAAAGAATGATAAAAGAATATATTTAAGACTTGCCACGTGGCGAATTTTGAGTGGATTGTAGTGCCACTCAACGAAATTTAGTAGCAAGCCAAACCCCACACAAGTTTTTCTCCCAAGTGGGACTCCCTGTAAAGTTTTACGAGCTGCTTAATGACATCTTTGTTGGTCTTTTTCGATGCAACTCCTGGGGTAATCGACACCTACAACAACCAAATGAAATCGTAAGTCACCACACAACCAACCACATAACCTATTGATGAACACCTTCCTAGATCAAATTTACAAAACTCTTTTTGAAAAACATATTTAGGTCAACTTTAAATAGAGAGAATAAATTTTACAAAAGCATATGGCTCGCTTTTGACTCAGAAAAATGTTTTGGGAACGCAAAATCACCTTCCATCATGAAATAGTATTAGTATCTAGGTTGTATATAATTGAAGTCCCATTCTGATATCCCTCAAATAAAGCTTATTTGATGGACATCCTGTCATGATCATTTCATTAGTTTTTCAACGATCTGAATCGTCTATATTTTAATTCATCACTCATAGATCATCTTTGTAAAAAATAAAAAATAAAAAAATAAAAAAAACAAATCTAAAACTACTACGAGATCCAAAACACAATGGTCCGAAGCATCTGAACAGATCAACTCAGAAATATTTTATTTTTAAATATTGTAAAATAAAATGTAAAAGAAATTTTGGAGTCACAGATGTTGGCGCCAAATGATTTTTTGGTCCCAAAACGACATTCCGAGGGAAGTTTTCAAAAACCAAAGAAAGGGAAAACGTAAAAGAAAATCCAAAAATAAACTGTAAAATGCAGAAGAACATATGAACACAGAAAATAAGAACGAAAGGGGAAAACTGCAAAATGAAAAAAAGGAAGGAGGCTTACATCGTAGCGATGGAGATCTCTCGCCCTAACCTCCACTAGGAAGTGGTTGGCCCTGACTTGGACCTTCTCGCCGACCTTCCCGTACCCAGGCCTAGCCGGATACCTGACGGCCTTCGACGACGACGGTAGTGCATGGAGCGGTCAGCGTCAGTTTCTGCTCCATATCACAGATGAGAAGAGCCTCAGTGGGCAGAGGCGCCGAGCTGGAAGCCGACTGAGCGGGCGCTGGTCCGCGAGAAACCGGTGTTTGAGCCATCGCGTCTCTGCGCTCCGGGGTTTTAGAGTGAAAGTGAGGTTTTCAGAGAGAAGGAGAGGAGGAGTGTTTAAGTGTGTGGGGAGAGCGCAGAGTGAGAATAGGTGGGTAAAGGGAAGAGCAATTTGCTTAGACTTGCTGGTGAAGAATTCGGGGGGTTGAAAGGCAAAAGGAAAAGGAAAAGGAAAAGGGAAGGAAAAAAAAAAGCGAAAAAGGAAAAGGTAATAGAGTGAAATGAGAGCGTCTGTTAATTGACTATTTTGCCCCTTCGTTCTTTTCCAGACCGCCGTGAAATTAGGTGAATTAATATGGGATCATGCTCAGTGGGGGAAGAGTGATTAAGCGGTTAAGTGGTAGTTACAAATAATTGTAGGGGTGTAAAGGGAATTTGGTTTGGGCAAAGGTTTCTTTGGGAGAAGACACTTGTTGCTACGCATAGGTATGACAATCCAAACTATTAAACATTATAACCATGAATAACTGTTTGAATGGAATGGAATTGGAGATGAAATTAGAGTATAGTTTTGATACGGGGAGAAACCGAAAATATTATTCGGCCACATGATGATTTGACCAAACACGCAAAACATACTTTACTGTTTTAATTTGACCTCACCACTTTGTATTTTGGGTGTCTAGGCTGAAGACGTGAAACCATAAATCATCACAGGCCAAGTGGGTTTTATAACTAGAATGGCAAAATTGCTTTTATTGATGGAAGAAACTCATTATTTAACCTAGATTAAGGTTGACTCGAGAGATGGAGACATAAGGGTGCAATAAAGTCCTCGGTGGGTGAGTCTCCGACATTGAGTCGACCCCGCCCCGAGCAACCATAAATGGAATATTGGGCTAAACAGACTCAATGAACAGTTGCACAAGCATTGAGACACAATTACCTTTCATAAAGAGTCTTGCTTGCCTAGGCATGCACCATTGAGACACAATTGCTAGTTCAATTTCACATATTCGTTCACCCCTACAAGAAATAAAAATCACATATTTAAGCTTCATATAATGGAAAGAAGAATAAGAAAGGATTGTTTGTTGCTGGTTTTCCTTCTGTGAATATTATTCAGCACCCTCTCCATTTTTCCATGATGAGCACGTTCCAAATCCCCCCTTGATTAGTTCATCTCTATCGTAATTACTGTGTGCAACTATCTGCATAGATGCAGAAACATGACCATAAGAAACAAGTTTAAAACAAATTAAACCTGATATGTACTCCTCTCTCTGTCTCCGGGACGTTGACAAGGAGCTCGTAGTAGGGCAGCTACTTGTCTTTCGTTAAGCTTCTTGGAGTATCTCTGGTCAGAAACAATTGTACAAAGCTGCCAGAAAGGTAAATAGGTAAATTATTTCATAAAGACCAGTACCGAACCCGAAAGATAAAACTGGAAAACAAGCCGCTTAAAGAGTCGAGAAAGGTACCTCCATTGGCAAATAAACAGGTTTGGAAACACTTCCAGATTGAATGGCAGGCATTGCCCCATCAGTCATCACAATATTGTACCTTTCACGATAATATTGAACTACTCTCTTACTACTTCCGTCTTCCAGAGTAAACCTAAAATGCAAAGTTCAATAATAATATTGATTCAACGATGACACATATTTACATATACTAACTATCAATCACTTGAGTTGGTTCAGCGGTTCGGCGGACACACCAGTGATTTTATAAGGCCTTTTCACCTTTGAGTAACAGAATGTCACAAGATTTGCTAACACAAAATGTTTAAGAAACTGACTCTGGACGTACAGTATAAGCTCGATAAGAAACTGATTGACAGACCTCTTACGTTAAAGTATTTTCACAAATTCCGTTACCAGGGTGGATTCATAGAAATATGTGGCAGACACATTTGAAAATTTTGAATGGAAAAAACAAAAAGGCAAGGCCTTCTTGTTACTTGGCTTTGCATGATTTTCAAAACAAGGAAAATTGGGCTGACACTGTACCTGTTGGAGCAGAAAATTCGGTTCTCTAATCCTTCAACAAGTAAATCTTGTAACCATGCATGTTGAGAAGCCCACTACACCATTTTGCTTGTCATCAATGAGAGCGGGGGACTTGCAAGTAAATACTCCGACAGCTCAAGTCAATATTTGTTCAGGATGCATACAAAATATAGAACAAATCTCCTAAGTCCTACCTCTCTCTTTTTTCTCCCCCAGTTTTGACATGATTCTAGGCCTTTTATAGGCATAAAAATCTTGGGCTCCATGTCCCATTATCTCACTACGTGTTCCTTTGTTAGTAGTGGCTGATTCATGTTGCTTTATTTTAGCCCGATTCCCTTATCTTTAGGATGCATGGAAAATGGCGAATTACTTAACCCTTAATTTTTGCACCCACAATACCTATATTGAGGTAAATCCCAAACTGGGTTGGCCTAAGACTCTGGTGCAAAATCCCAAACTTGGTTGGCCTAAGACTCTGGTGCATCAACAAGTGTAACTGTGGTACAAAATGCAACATTTAACATATAATTAGTAAGGAACCAAGAAACAGAAGAACGAAAGAAACCATATCATACGCCGGTTCTACAAAAAGATGCGTTACTTTTCAGATGGTGAGGCTCTAAGAGCAACATCGCTTGTATAGCCTGAAGGCGACTCGTGTTGCTTCCCGCGCAAGAAATGTAGTAGTTGGTAAAGGTCGATCGGGTTCGTTCCCCGGTTTGAGAGTCACCTTAAAGTCCCTATCCAATCTGTAAGTCATTCGAACACACCAAAAACAAATGATATTCAGAAAACTGCAATAACCATCGAAACATATAGAGATGAAAACAAGACACAGAAGCACTGAACTCTCGTAGGAAAATACCTTTTCGAGAGAAGAAGAAGAAGACCCACCACGGTCATCTTTCTCTGGTAACTTAACCACAAACCCTTTGGATTCAAATGGCAATGGACCTGCTGTGTGAATGCTTTTCATACCATCATAAGCAGGGTTCTTTGACCTAGGTGTGACTTGTACAAAACAAGAAGCTACTTAACCACCTACACAGTCCAACGGATGTGGAGTTTGGACACAAAAGGCCTCAATATTTTTTGGGGAGTTTTAACGAAACACTGCCAGTACTAAACACTTTTAACGAAAAACCACATTTTTACCTTTCCTTGGTACTATTTACTTACACATTTATTTGTCATTTTTCATTAAAACTAAAGTTTTTTTTAACTTTTCGTTAGTTTTCCTTATTTTTTGAACTAGGGTTAGAATATTTAAACTTTTTATCTCTGCTCGATGTGGGATATTTGGACATGCCCCTGACAAATGTGGAGTTTGGACACAAAAGGCCTAAATATTTTTGGACTAGGGTTGGGATATTCAAACTTTTCTTTCTCTACCCAATGTGGGATGTTTGGACAAGCTTCCTTACGTGGGACCCAATTAGTAGATCACACAAGGAAGATCCACATATCAGCAATCATGTGGGGCTAAGAGGACTTACCCAACACATGGACCAAGGGACCCACCATCATCGTGATGGGCCAAGGAGATCCACCCATCACATGGGTGTACGGCCTACTCCCTAGCTACCATGTGACCAAAGGCCCACTTCCAACAACATCGATATTATACCCAACTTGTTAATTTTCATCTCACAGTCTGGCAGACACGCAGTTTTATTACAAAAATGCCTCAATATTAGTTGGAGTGGAGTTAGAATATTTGAACTCTTCATTTTCTCCGTTTGTGCCCGATGCGGGATATTTCAACACAAACTTGATCCATATTCGAATCCATTTGTGATATGGTTTTCATATTCTAATCATCAAATCTAAACGGTCGATCCATATCGTTAAGCATCGCATCCAAATCACATATCGTTATTGGATCTAAATTACAAATTAAAAACTTTAAAATATCATCAGTACCTTCATTCATTTTTTTATTTTATATATCTATTTACTAGCAATTGTACACATGCTATGCATGTGATTATTAAATTTTCAAAATTAAATTTACAAAGAAAGTAAATATAAAATGGTCGCTAAAACTTTTTGGTAACGAGCTTCAAATGATTTTTCGTTACTAAAGAGGTTGTTTATTATATCTTTGGCGAATGTTTCTGAATAATTGTTTTCTCACTAAATGTTTATTTTATCTAGGTGAAAACGTGGAAGAGAAATGGAGGCAACTGCTATGGTTACCTGAGTGAGAGTAGGTGTGTTTGCTTCTTGTTTATACAGAAATGGAAACAAATCAAAGACCGTGCAAAAGGGAAGGAAGGGGTTGCGAGAGGAAAGTCAATTCAAGAAATTGACGTCCGATTTCTCATATTAAATGACGATTTTGCCCTCCATCATTATTCACAGGACTGCCGCGTGATTAGGCAACTGATTTTTGGATTTAATGCTTTCGAACAAAAAACAAAGAATTTCGGAATTATAAACGGTTAAGTGACGTGGTTAAGCGGTTAATTGTGCAGTTGAGAAAATAATGGGAAGGGCACAGATGACTTTTTCCTTTTTTGTCTAGGAGTTTTAATTTAATTAAAGGACCTAATAATTTGATTCTGTTGGGATTTGGGTTTTCGGATTGGATTATGTGACGGTTGATTTTGTTAAGTTAGGCAGCTAATAATAAAAGCTGTGTAATTAATTGTCACTTGATATGCCAATTAGTATTACGATCTAGTGATATTCTTTTTTCTTTATAAGAGAAGTCTTATGTTTGATTATCGCTAAAGACGAATTTAATCTATATTATTATTAACTTATTGTGAGGTTTAGCCCACCTCTTTCCCTTAACATAAATAATATCGTTCATTAAAAGAAAATGTTACTTAGAACTATAGTCTAATGATATTATTCATCACTTGTAAGTGAGAGGTTTTAGGTTCGATTCTCACCAAAAACGTATATACACACAAAGATACATATACATATATAAAGTCTTGTACATTTCATTTATCTTCTCTGTAAGATGTAAATATAAGTTCTACTCCAATTTGAGATCCAATTTATTTTTTACTTTATTAGCAGGTCATTCGAGGGCTTTCCACCCAACAAAAAATGTAACATGACTATTCCAAGACCCTACGAATCTCCCATTAAAAGACTACGAATCTCCCATTAAGTATGTTCTTAGCCACAACTCATTCTACGGGTTTACGCCCAACCAAAAATGTAACATGGCTATTCCAAACTCTTCGAATCTCCCATTAGAGATGTCTTAGTCCCAATTCCCGCATTCCAAAAAGAAATAAATTACAATTCGCTCTAGGTTAGAGATGACACTGATAATAAATTAATAAAAAGTCGACTAAAGGGAAGCAGCTAAACTTAACCTGCGAGTCACTTTTTGGTAAACTTTCTCAAGCCCTTTCAGCAAAACCAAAATTTGGACAAAATATCCAAAATCTCCACCTGGAAAGACATTGCCTCAAAATTTTGAGCTCAGGCCTTAAGAGGGAAGGTCAAATCCGGAATAAAAATATATGAACTTACATCAGATGAGATGAAAGTAATTAACAAATACATGCAACCAAGTAACCAAGTAACAGCTCAAAATGTTCTGACTGCACTTGTATATAAACTAAACTTTGAACCAAAGTCCATATCCATATCAGTAGCCAAGGATTCAGGACCAACCCACAAAACTAATCACCAAAACCATCAGGGATGAGCGATTTAGACGTCAATCTTCAAGACGATATAAGATTAGAGTCTTGTGCAACTTTAGTTCATACAACCTCAGACAAAACACGACCACTAGAAACTAACCGCCACCAGCGAGACCTCAAGACTGATTTCAGCAGTAGAACATGACTTCCTTTACATTTTCTTTAATCTCTGGAAGGGCACGGAACCTCGCACCACCAGCAACCCCTCCTGTAGATCCGGTAGTTGAACCTCCATCAGAATACTCACCCTCTATGTAGTATCGCGCACGGAAGGCAGCCAAATGTGCATAGTATGCAGGAGGAACTGCATGAAAAAACAGAAACATCAGTGGTGCAATCAGGAAAAAGCATAATTTCAGAAAACAGATATGAATCCAAGCCAAGTACGTACCAATGGAGACCGAGCGTGTGCACCTTGCATACCTGAAAAATCACATGCCATACGATGAGAATGTCAGAAAACAAAACGTCTGGCATAGTACTATTGCAAAAGCCAGAGAAAGAATTGAAATTGTTGTTTTCTTACGTGTAGCATAGGTTGTTCGTTAGCATTTGCAAGGCATCTGGAGTGAATCTGTTCTCATCGTACAGGACATGGTAATGTGCGGGCCTGCTAGTTCCCTACATGAACACAAGATAACCGTCAAACTTTTAGCAGTGAATAGAGCACAAAATCCTCAGAAGAGGGCAAGGAAACTACCGCAACAAACAGAACTAGCATATATAAATCAACAATACAAATATACCTGAATGCCAGCATGACTGTTGAGATAGAAGTCAAACTCCGTCGGATGACAAATCTGGGTGTCAACGACAGTGCCTGGACAACATAAAGAGAGTCAATGCGCAAAACAGAAAAGCATCAAATCCAATATATCTCAATGCATCTAAATCTGTAACCTGGTTGAATATTGCCACTCCTATCAGTCTTCCGTTGATCAGTTGGGAACAGGCGAGTATGATGCCTTTTCTGCACCACAACAAAAGTAACTGGTGGTAGATATCCCTCCTGAAGCGACTGACAAGCCTGAAAAAGTAATGACACACGTTAGATAGTCGCTTATCTTAAAAAATAATCACCAACTACTTGATCAAATCAAATAATTAAGCAATAACAAAATAATTCTAAATTGTAGTAATCAGCATACCTTTCTTATAGCATCCATTTCATACAGCAGAACTTGACTAAACTGGCCTTCACTAACTCCATCTCTGCCAAGCAAACATCAAAACAAATATTAGCAGAGTGACGTGTCATTTTCCATGACCACAGCAAAAACAAATTACCTGAAGAAGATAATTCTCTCTGGTTTTCGGCCAGTTGCTTGTCTAAATGCTCTGAAATGCTCCCTAACATAATGAAAATAATCATGTTAAGAAAACAGTCACAGCTATTATTAAAAAAAAAATAGAAACAATAACAAAAGAAGGTGCAAGTTGTCCCAATTACCTGATCATTCCTCCGGCAACCGGACCCCTGTTAGGGTCCTGTTTAACACTATAAAGATCTTGAATTATTTCTTCACGGTGAGCCTGTGCAGATACAAGTCCTCGGTACTTGGTGACTTCTGGCCAATCCATGGACGCCACCACCTGATTGAATAAATTGCCATGTTAACACATTATGCATTTTTAAAGTGAAATCAATATAAGACTGAAACTTACAGCCGCAATTGAAGGACTGCTGTCCTCCCCAGGTTGTGGATGGGTAACATCAGCACCAAATATTATAGTGGGAATGTCACTCACAAGAGGAATTCTTCTTTGAATGGCATCTATTAAAACAGTGTTCCTTCCACCAACCTACCAACAGTTTTAAATAAGGAAAACTAACGAAAAGTCCAAAAAACCTATAGTTTTAGTGAAAAAGGACAAATAAAGGTGTAGTGAATAGTACCAGGAAAAGGTAAAAATGTTGATTTCGTTAAAAGTGAACACTACCGAGAGTGTTTCGTTAAAACTCCCTTTTAAATATTGCGTCAATTTTTCAATGTTAATGGAAGACAGTGAGTAATATGAGCGACAGTCAATAAAGGATAAACACAATGTGATGGGCAATACATAAAAACAAACCTTCACATTTATCTTGAGTGACAGATTTTCTAGGTATTGTTTACTGAGCTTTGATGCTGCCTTAGGCTGACAGCACTGAGATACAATTCCTAACTCAGTTTCACAGATCCGTTTTATCATACCTGCAAGCAATCAGCAATCAATATGTCAGACCTTAAAGATGATTTTCTTGAAATACAAGACACATTTTGTTCTCAGACTGCTACTCACCATACGATCCAGTAACGTCAGGCAAAATGATAATTAACAACTGAAGAGGCTTTCCCTTATGTCCAATTTCTTCAATTTTCTTGCTAGATATCTTATGGATATCTCTGAGCACGCTCTCTATTTGCCCTGGATGAGCTGATTGATGAGGAATTAAGGGTTGCGGATGGAAATGCTAGGAAGAAAAAACAATTTGGTTAGGAAAAGAACAAAAACAATTCGATGCAGAAATAGGAGGAACTTAAGGAAGGGAGTCGTACCACTCCCTTGCTGTTGCACATATTGACCAAATCCTCACAAAATCGGAAGTTAAAACTTGGATCTAATCGGGAGAAATTGACACATGCCCAGAAATCCAATCGACCGCCGTTAACCATTTTCTACAGAACCAGAATTAATTAAAAATAATCAGAAATCAAATTTCTAACAAGAATAATGTTTTAATTTTGATGCTGCATCACATATCACAAAAGCAGTAAAAGATGGTATTTTAAATGTTTACATATCCATAATAAATCAGGAAGTTGCTGACTGCAAAGACTTACATTGCAAAAATCTTGTGTAACTATCCTCAAAACACACAATGGAGTTCAACATACGCACAGATCCATCTAAACAAATGAAAAACCAAGATCATACCTTGTTGATCATATTCCATTGCCCCATTCGTGGATTTTCAGACTTCTCACGACCAGTGTCATGGTATTTTAGCTGTTGTCATCAATTCAAACACCAGCAAAGAAAAAAGTCAAATAAAAAACACTTGAACTATTCACACAAAATTGGAAACAAATACTTACCAAAGGCGGCGGCAGAACACGAGCATTAACTAAAGCCATATCTTGACTTATATTCATGCCAAATTGCTGGATAAGGTCATCTGCATTGTAACGATTGTGTTTACCCATCTGCATAGATGCAAAAACATGATCACCAGAACAAAATGAAAACCATCTAGATTAGGAAAAGAGTTCTATTGATTGAAAAGATGAAATCACATCCAGACATCAACTATACTGCGCTGCCTCTCTCCAGGGCGTTGACAAGTTGCTCTCAGAAGAGCTGTTACTTGTCTCTCATTGAGCTTCCTAGTGTACCTCTGCCCAGCAACAATGGAACAAAGCTGCCAAAAAGGTAAATAAGTAAATTAAGGTAAATAGGTAAATTATCTCCACAAGACTACTACCATACTTAGAATAGGAACATGCTGGGAAATAAAATGGTGAAGAAGTCAAGAAAGTAACCTCCATAGGCAAATAAACAGGTTTTGAATCGCTCCCAGACTGAAGCGCAGGCATTGCCACATCCCTCAGCACAATATTGTACCTTTCGCGATAATACTGGACTACTGAAGTTCTACTTTGATCTTCTAGAGTGAATCTAAAACACAAACATGGATAATAAGTTATGAACGTTCTGTTACCATGGAACACCGCCATAACCCAATTTGATTTTATTTTCATATTTACCCATTATGATGTATGATATAGCAAATTCAATCAAATTAGTTCAAACGAAAGTAGATAATGAGCATGAAGATTCCAGTTCTACACTTCAAGCAAATCAAGTACCACAACAACCTATATACATATAAACAAGATATAAGCAAAAACGTATTGTAAAGATTATAAGACTCACGTCAACTTGTTCAGGGGTTCCACGGAGACCCCGGTGATCTTATAAGATCTATTCTCACGATAAGAAAGTTTTACCTTGACCCCCTTTAAGGCCTTTTTCACCTGTAAGTAACAGAATGCCAATCAGTTTTGTTCCAAGACAAAGCAAAAGTAAATGCATAGAACTCTGAATAAATTAGTCTTTGATGAACAAGTCAATTCAATATAAAAGAAAATGCAGCTTCAAAACCCAATGAGCATAAATACTAGCAAATATGCATAAATAGAACCTATAACTAGCATTAACTTGTGGAGAATACCTTCAAACGATCACGATCAGGTAAAGGCCTTGACAGTTCTCTGTAGTTCAAAAGTTTTTTCACAAACTCAGTTACCAGAATAGATTCATAAAATGCTCTGGCTGATACATCTGCAAATATATGAATAAAAAAAGTTAGTCACAACACTCGTGCTACTTAACTTCATATGATTACAAGAACAGGGAAAATTGGTAAATGCATTACCTATATTGAGTGAAAGCCCAAACTGGGTCGGCCTTAGACTCTGATAAAAGCCTCTCCAGTATTCCAGACCATCACCAAGATCACCTTTCTTCCCAAGATCAATGGCGAAAAAAGACCTCCCAACAACAGTGTAACTGTGACAAAAATTACAACAGTCAAAACCGTCATTAGCGAGGAAACAACGCAGACAAGGGTAAAATAAATCTTATGCCCTTCTACCAAATAAAGACTTTACTTTTCAGAAGGTTTAGCCCTAAGAACAACGTCCAGAACTTGAATTGCGTCCTGAGGCAACTCATGCTGCTGGCTTCCTAGGAACTGTTGGAGGGAATACAGGTCAGGTTTGCTAGCCAACTTGAGAGTGACCTTGAACTCTCGGTCCCTCCTGTAAGTCATTTCAATACAAAGAAGAAAGCGTTCAAAAAACAGTAACAAATAAAAAAAAATACAAAAATGAAAACAGGACATTAAACCATCTTATAAATATACCTTCTGGAACCAGCAGCAGCAGAAGAACCCTCCCTCTCGGCCAACTGGACCACAAACTCTTTCGAGGTAAAAGGTAAGGGGCCTGCTGTATAAATACTTTTCATGCCATCATAAGCTGGGATTCTCTTGCCCAGGTGAGACTCCTTATAAAGCTTTAAGAGCTGCTTAATGACTTCCCTGTTGATCTTTTTCGATGCAACTTCAGGGGTAATCGACACCTAAAGCCACCAAATGAAATCGTAAGACACCCCACAACAAGAACAATCAACTGTTTAAACATGCGAGAATACCAACAGTTTACCAAGAAAACCCGTTTACCAGGACTCAGAAAATACCAAAAGAATTGCATTGTTCACATAACCCTTCTGAGTAAGAAAAAAAAAACAGAAAAGCAAAAGAAAACCACCCCCTATTTCTCAGAAACCTTCATCAATAGGTTTTTGGGAACACCAAAAGCTTTCATAAAATAAAAATTTATTGATGAACACCTTCCTGGATCAAATTTACAAAACCCTTTTTGAAAAGCAAATTTAGGTCAACTTTAAACTCAGAAAAATGTTTTGGGAACGTGACATCACCTTTCTGAGTCAGATTTAAAGCATTAGAGGAACGCCAAAAGGGAAATACAACAGAAAATTTTAAAAAAATAAAATAAAAAAACAAAAATTAAATGGTTGCGTTTGCTCTTTCATCATTTGGAATCAGAAAGGTGTTTTCAGAAACCTCAAATGATTTTTGGGTCCCAAAACGCCATGAACGACTCAAGTTTACAGCAGTAAACTTCAAAAACAAAAAGGAAAACCCGAAAAAACAAATCAAAATAAATAAAACAAAAATATTCAAAACACAATGACGACGCTCAAAAGTCCAAAGCATCATAAAATTGTAAAAAGTAAAATGTAAAAGAAATTTTGGTACGACATTCCGAGTCAAGTTTTCAAAAATAAAGAAAAGGAAAACGTAAAAGAAAATTCAAAATTAACTGTAAAAATGCAGATGAACAGATAAACACAGAAGAATAAGAACGAAAAGGGAAAACTGCAAAAGAACAAAGGAAGAAGGAGGCTTACATCGTAGTGATGGAGATCTCTCGCCGCCACCTCCACTAGGAAGTGGTTGGCCCTGACTTGGACCTTCTCGCCAACCTTCCCGTAGCCAGGCCTCGCCGGATACCGGACGGCTTTCGACGACGACGGTGGAGGAGCGGTCAGCGTCAGCTTCTGCTCCATCGCACAGATGAGAGGAGCCTCAGCGGGGGAAGGCGCCGAGCTGGAAGACGCCTGAGCCGGCGCCGGTCCGCGAGGAACCGGTGTTTGAGCCAATGGTGCCGGCGAGGGAGTTTGAGCCGCCGTCGGAGCGGCGATGACTCCAGGACAGTCATGTCTAGGTCCCGATTCGGACTGAAACAACGGTGTAGCACCGGGGTTTCGTCCCCGACCACGGCCTCCGCCTCCTCCACCGCGATTAAACGGCGGGGCGTCGGAGCCGTATGAGGGTTCGGAATGGCGGCCTCGGCCGCGGCCGCGTTGAGACATCGCGTCTGTGCGCTCTGGAGTTTCAGAGAGAGAAAGTGAGGTTTTTAGAGAGAGAAGGAGAGGAGTGACTAGTGTGTGAGGAGAGCGCAGACGGAGAGTAGGTGGTGTTTGCATGGTATTTATAGCAAAAGGAATTTGATGAGACGTGCTGAGGAAGGCTTTCGGGGTTTGAAAAGGAAAAGGAGTGGAAGGAGCCGCTTAATTGACTATTTTGCCCTTCCCTTGTTTTCCAGGGCGCTGTGAAATTAGGGAATTAATGGGATTTGTGCTCCAAGACGGTCGTGGGGGAAGTGGATGAAGCGGTTAAGTGGTGGTTATAAATGATTGTAGGGGTGTAAAGGGAATTTGGTTTGGGCAAGGGTTTCATTGGGAGAAGAGACAAGCGGGACATTTAAGCGTTTGTCACTGATTGGGAAATTATCGGTTTAAACTTGTTCTGAAATGGAGTTTGTAATTTAACATTTTTTGGACAAAAATAAATTTACTAGATTTATTGGCTCTTTAGCTTTTGAGATAAGAATACAAAGGGGTACCAAGTGGTGCTAAATTACCTTCTTTTTGTTGGATTTTTCTTTTCAAATACTAAATCTCAAATTCCTTACCATGTTGTACTTTTTTTTAGGTTGATATTTTTTTTTTTGGTTTAACTAAGGAATTACGTTTTTTGTCAAATAAAAAACGTCCGGTTTTCGTAAAATACTAATGACAATATGTTAAATAGGGTTCGTTGTTTCTAGTCCCCTTTTTTTTTGTCGAGACTGTTCTTATGGCCAAAATAGCACCAATTACCATGTAAGGATCAGAAGAACATCTCGGGTGCAGAGCATCTGGCCATGTGACGGTTTGACCAAACACGCGAAACATCCCTTCCCGTTTTAATTTGGCCCCACCACCTCCTTGTATTTCGGGTGTCCAAACACATGCCAAGGTACGGGATTGACGAGGAATATATTTACAAACATGCCATGCCACAGTGATTAAGCCGGATATTCACGCCATGCTCATGCCTATTCATCACGCCATGCTTCCTTAGCCACTATTCATGTTAAGCCCAAGTCACATATTTGAGGCTTGTCAAGTGGATTGTAGTGTGAATAGTTACGGAAGGTTATCGAGCCTATGTGGAATCGGGGTCATGGAAGACTTTAGGCTGCTTGGGGGCCCAAAGATCCAAGAACATACCCTTTGTATTTCACGCAAGCATCATTGAGAGAGAATTAGCCTAGTTTACTCATTTCTCCAGTACCCCAACTCCTTTAGTTAGAACTAAACTAGATTCTTGCATTAAATGCATGCTAAGCCCAGCAAGACAAGCATTTAATGCTGACTTTCCCTTTCCAGCTTGCACAGACAACCAACACATGAAAGCCATGAGGTGCGCTACCAGATTTAGCATCTACGGAAGGGCGCCCTAGGAAAGGCACATCTCGGAAAGAAGCAAATTGCAAGTCTCAACAATGCAGCTATCTTACACCAAAAAAAAAAAAAGAATAATATGAGGCCTAGGGAGAAAGAAGGGGAAGACCAAGCCACAAAGGGAGATTCCCTTGAAACCTAGAGAAGAGCCATTCACTTACATAAGGAGAGATAAGCCATTATAGAGAGAGGGAGAAGAAGTTAAAACGCAGAAAGGAATACATAGATAGATAGAAAATAAATGCAGGAAGAGAGAACCACCCAAGAACTAAGCTTAAAGAGTTCCATTTAGTCCAGAAGCATACTCCAAACCTCAAGCATCACCATTCATGCAGCCCTAGTAATCCCACAGCCTTCCATCAAACATCCCAACCATTAGAAGCCTTGCTATCATCTTAGGAAAGCCCAAATCATGCAGTCCAGAATGCCATGCAACCATGCCAACTCTCTCTCAACATGCTAAACTGATAATCTTTTAACGTCCACACAACATTTCACTTGAGGCAAGTTATTATCTTGATCAATCATGCTATCTTCGAGACGTTAATGTTACAGGGGTATTTTCTAAGACAAGCTATCTCTTTTAAGATATCCCGGGACTTGTCATGAATCCCCACCAAGGGAGACAAGAGGACATTCTCAAAGCTCAAGTTCACCTCGACCTAAAAGTCCCCCAACAATGAGTTACAAAACTTTTCTACATATAAAATACGTTATAATTGTTGTACCGCTAACATGGTGGTGTGTTGATTGGCCAAGTTAGTCTTATTTTCTTATTTTACTTCATGTTGGTTTGATGAGCCTATGAACTTAATCCAGGATGTCATCCTTGAAGATTGTATGCCTCCATAATTTCTCTAATAAAATCGTTATTGTTGCAACTAAAAAAATTTATGTAAAAATTCTTTTCTTTTGTTTTTGTTTAACAAGGGGTGAAGAAATATATTGTCAGAGTTTGTTCTCTAATTGACTTATCCGATTATGATTAAAAATTAATTCTATATGATCCATCAAATTTCGATTCAGAGATTAAAAACGATTCACCTTAATAACTGACCATGCTGTATCATTCTTTTTTAGGCAACTTTCAAAATATCTCTCATACCACTCACTTATCTATATCCATCTTTGAATATTCATAAACTCCATGTTATTTCTTTTTCTTTAGTTAATTGTTGATACTTCATAAAAACTCTCAAAATAGAGAAGTAATTTTCGTCCATCCCATCCCTCTATGGTATTCTTCTGAGCTTTTTTACTCCAATAAAAATCTTGAATTATGAGCTACATTAGTCAACACTTCATTTTTTTTTTTTTTTTTTTAACAAACGAGTGGAGGAGTGGATTAAGTCTCATAATGGGCTCGCAATAATGTGGTTCAAATTCGCCTTTGGTAAGAATTGAATCTATGACCTCTCACTTGCAAATGAAGAGGAATATCACTAAACTGTAGTACTAAGTGTCCACATTTTGTCAAAAATAGAAAAATGCTAGAGAGACTATATTTTGTAGAACATATCTTAAACCATCTCTCTAATAGATGTGAGATCTACTTGTAGAGCAAAAAATAATACAGAATATCCTGAAGTTGACACATGGACTTTTACTCACAAGTGACGAGAATGCTCTCATTAAATTGGCGAGGCCCACATCTGCTCCACACTTAGTTCAGCCTTCTTGAAGACCTGAGCAGCTAACTACAACCTCATCAAGCTCTTCTGCCCATGGCAAGGAGAAAAGTCAGAATGAATAAAAATATGATTAATTATTAAATCTTATCTTTATACCTTTCTAATTGAAGATCAACTCCATCAAGCAATGAATCACAATGATATTCAATCAAGTATATTACAAGATAATCTCAAGATATTATTTATTAAATAACATCTTGGGGATAATTCTTTCCTCATTCAACCAACGGATGACTCACCTTGGTCAATTAGACGTCAACACATGTCAAGGCAAACCCTACACATGCGGCCTATACTTTATAAATCTCGCATTCTCTACCAAATTCTAATAAGATTTTGCTATGCATTCAAGGCTTCAAGCCATAAACTCTCTTTTTAGAAAAACTGCCTTAGGCATCGAAGGTTCATTGGCCAAACCCCACTCACATCGTGGGTGCATATAGCTTTGGTCTTTGATAAAAGGTATTTATTTGTTTTGTACATCACTACTTGTATTGCGGACCTTACTCGTATTAAAAAGCTGCTTTAGAAGTGATACATAAACTGTGGTCTCTCTATAGCATCACCTTAAAAAATATATTTTTATTTTTATTGTGTAGTTTCAGCATTGGCCTAAAATAGTAAAAAAAGAGCCTAACAAAATAGTTAACCAAAAATATCCTTTACTTGAAAATGGACATTTACCCTTGCCTTTTAAAAAGAAAAAGAAAAATTTTCCATTCCCATTCTAAAAAAAAAGGATAAATCTCAATTTATTACCCTTAAGTTTCAAGGTTTTCAATATTTGGTACATGAAATTTTTTTCGTCCCAGACTCATACCTAAAGTGTTAATTTTGGGACAGTCTCATACATCTGTTAGTCTGACTGTTAAGTCTCCCGTTAACTGATGATGTAGCACCCATATGGACAATGACTGGGCGCCACATGTCATTAAAGGGTCCACGTGGAAATTAAAAATTCAAAAAAAAAAAAAAATTTGGTTGTCTTCTACCTCCCCCAACCTTCCCTTCCTCCCTTATCCCTCAATTCTCTCCTCTGCACCAACCCACCAAACCTTCATCTCTTCTCCTCTTCGACTCGTCATACATCCACCCTTCTCTCCTCTCCACTGCACCAACCCACCAATCTCTCCATTCTCTCCGCTAACAGTTTCGCCTTCAAGCTCATAAGCCTTCGCAAACCCTAAGCACTCCTAACCCCTTCACAATAACAGCAAAAAATCCAACACTTTGTCCAACTTTGCTCAAAGCTCCAAATCCGGATTGGGCTTGGTGGGGCGGATAAACCCTCGTCGGATCTTGTTCTTTGCTCGAGTCTCCCCAATTGATTTTAGTCTGCTTCCGAGTTCGATCTAAGAACTCGACCCCATTCCATCTCCAACCGTTAGGGCTACCACCTATTTGAAATCCGAGAGTATTTAGACGCCGAACCAGAGGGTCCGACCTGGTTGTGGGTGGGTGGATAGGTGGAGTCACCTCAAAGTTCCAAATCTGGATTAGGCTTGGTGGGGCGGATAGACCCTCGTCAGATCTTGTCCCCTGATCGAGTCTCCCTAATTGATTCCAGTTCGCTTTTGGGTTCGATCCCAGAACCCGGCCCCATTCCATCTCTAGCCGTCGGGGCTACCACCCATTTGAAATCCGAGAGTATTCGAATGTCAAGTAAAAGGGTCCAGCCTGGTTGTGGGTGGGTGGATGGGTAAAGTTGAAGATGGAGGGGGAATGGTGGATGTATGACGAGTCGAAGAGGAGAGGAGAAGATGGTTTGGTAGGTTGGTGCAGAGGAGAGAATGAAGGGATAAGGGATGAGGGGAAGGTCGGGGGAAGTAGAAGACGACCAAAAACAAAATTTAAATTTTTAATTTCCACATAAACCCCTTAATGACACGTGGCGTCCAATCATTGTCCATATAGGCGTCACATCATTAGTTAACGGGAGACTTAATAGCCAAACTAACGAATGTATAAGATTGTCCCAAAGTTAACACTTTA